ATGAAATAACAACAAAGAACCATCACCACCTCTCTCACATACTTCATCTTCTTCATTAATCGGTAATTTCTCACTATTAACTTCGTCACCTAAAAAATATCCAAGTTACTATTGATTAATGTTTTTCAAATGTTAGTATGTATTTTTTTCAATCTGTTATATTTGTTATGTGTTGATTTGCATTTATTGCTCAAAAAAATCATATGTTTTAAGGCTATAGCATCACTTTCTAAAGTAAGTCTTTAACAACACTTCTTCTCAAATTTCTTTTAAAGCTATAGCAGCACTTTCTAAAGTAAGTCTTTAGCAGTGTTTTTTTTTCAAATTTCTTTTAAGGCTATAGCAGTGCTTTCTAAAGTAAGTCTTTAGCAGTACTTTTTCTCAAATGTCTTTTAAAGCTATAGCAACGATTTTGGAAGAAAGCGCTGTCTACTTTGGGCCTATGGCAGCGCTTTCTATTGTTGGGCCTATAACAACACTCTCTTTAGTGAACCTAAGACAACTCTTTTTCTTAACTTTGGGTAGCGCTTTTTTATAAAGCGTTGTCTAATGTATATTGTTTTAAAATTTAAAATTTTATCGGGACATTTAGCAGCGCTTTGATTCAAAAGCATTGTCTAAGGTGTGCTGCCTAAAACCAATTTTGACGTAGTGGTTGTTCAGATTTTTATTGATCTCATTGTATTCAAGGTAAACTAGTGAAAAGGAATATTGTTTAGTTATCATAAATTAATCAAAGCAACGCATTTTTTGGTGGTGTGCGATTTCGCGGGTGGTAGATATGTGGTGGCGGCAACTCATTTTCAACAGTTATTATGGTGGTGGTCAGATTCGAAATTGTGTTAATTTCGAGTTTTAAACTAAAAAACGATTTCTCAAAAACTTTGGTATATCTGTCCGAATTTGTTTATCACCAAATATCATTCTCTGAGTACAACCAATTAAATGTTTGGTATTTTTAATAACTACTAATTTAATACTTGATACTATACATTGTTGAAGGTTTTTGATCAGTAGTTATGGTTTTGACTCTTGACTCTTGACTGAGATTACAATAGTATTTTTTCATTTGACGTCGTTTATGTACGATAGCTGTTTGTATTAAGGTCGCAGAGATGTAAAAAGTGAAAACTATGATGTTAGAGCATTTTTCATGATAATACTCTATGATGGGTTGCAAAAGCAGAAAATTATTTAGGTTTAAGGTTTATGTTCTTATATATTTATTTGAGCAGAAAATCTATTAATCTAACTTTTTTTTTGTTTTATTTCATAAATAAATGCATACAAAAACAATTGAAAATACCCCGCACTCAATATTTTCTCTTCCTTAAAATTCTATGATTCGAAGATCTAAAATATAGATCTTCATAGAAATTAATATTTACTTTAATATTACGTGTAAATAATGTAATATTTTTGGGTAAATAATGTAGTTTTTAAGAAAATTAATTTATTATTATTCTGCGTAAACAATGTAACAAATTTTAAAAAAATAATGTATCTTACCCTTCAGCTTTATTGGTAAACTGAGAGATATAATGTGCTAGTTTTGAAAATGATTTAAATATAAATGTTGGGGTTCAAACTCATGTGCAGATAACTTAACACCTTAATTTTTTATTAACCTAAGGATAAAGTGACAATATTTCATGATGCCTTTTCTTACCTCGCTTATTTAGCAAATGCATTTACATGAGGCTTTCAATTCGGATCTCTGGTCTCTACCTAAACACCGCTCACGGACGTGCCTCCGAAAACCATATGTTCGATCTCACACATCAATCTGGGATCTTACTCGTCTCTCGTACAGAAACAATAACTCAACTGTTTGTTGATTAAGAATACCACTATGCCAAAATTGAATTTAGACAGCGCCACATAGACAGCGCTTATGCCATAAGCGCTGCTATAGGTTTTAAAAAAAATTAAAAATTAAAAAATTAGAGTAAGTGCTGCTAAAGGTATACCTTAGACAGCGCTTACTAAAAGCGCTGCTAAAGGCCTTTCCATGGACATCGCTTCCTTTCCCTAAGCGCTGCTATAGGTTTTCAATAAAAAAAATAAAAAAATAAGAATAAGCGCTGCTAAAGGGTATACCTTAGACAACGCTTACTAAAAGCGCTGCTAAAGGATTTAACATAGCCAGCACTTCCTTTCCCTAAGCGCTGCTATAGGCTTTCAATAAAAAAAATAAAAAAAAAAGAATAAGCGCTGCTAAAGGGTATACCTTACACAACGCTTACCAAAAGCGCTGCTAAAGGTGTGATAAAAGGTATACCTTAGACAACGCTTTCAGGAAGCGCTGCTAAAGGCATTAAACTAAAGCGCTGCTAAAGCCTTAAAGCGCTGCTAAAGGTAATACCTTTAGCAGCGCTTCTTGAAAGCGATGTCTAAGGTAATTAAAAATTTTCTAAATCCCTAAATTGGTTATCAGAAACCCCAAATTTATACAAAACCCCACTTTATACATGCAACTGTTCATCTTCGTCTAACTCTCCCTCCTCACCATCTCCTTCGTTATTTTTGTCTTGTTTAATCTCTTTCAAATCCGTTTACAATCGCTGAAGCTGTGGAACTCAAAATAAGGTTCTTTCTTTTAACCCATTCTCTTGTTCATCTTTTATTCATCGTTTTTTAATTCCGATGCGATTCTCTGTCACGGGTTAAGTGTTTAGGGTTCCGATTCAAAATCTTACTTATAGTAATGATTTATGATTTGCATTTAAGTTTGAACAACTTTCATTGCGTTTATGAAAATAAATCTGCAGTTTTTGTTTGCTTATTGCTTGGTACTTCAGTTCTAAAATCCATGGAATAAAATTATTGTATCTGCATACCTAGAAGTTGACTGATTTATCTGGTTTTGAATGTTGATAGAGTGGTATAGTGGGAAATATTTAGATTCTGACATTCAGTAATGGATTTCAAATGTTTGGGTCTTTGACTAGGTTTTAGGAAACAAACGTATTTGTAACATGATTAGTAAGCCACCATGGAATTAGAAACTGAAGTAAAAGCCATTTGATTAGGAAGACTATGCATAGATGTTTACTAGACATAATAAATTTTAGCTAGATGGTTTAACAGGTTTCATGTAACGAGGGGGGCAATCCTCTTTTTTTATTTTTTTATTTTAGTGTTTTATATTCAATACTACTTTAAAAAATGAATGTGATTAGATGTTAACTTTGAAGATAACGTATCATTTTATTCCCTTCATTGAAAGTTATACTTGAAATACTCATTTATTTCTCTTTCATTTCCCTACAAAACCCTTCATCTAGACATACTCTCATAATGTGTCTACCAAAATAAGTTAATGGTAAGTTTTTATTTTGAAGCATGGTAGTATTATCTAGAAAACTGAAGTTGGTAAAATAGTTGAATCTTCTTGTTCCCAACTAAGATGTAGAGGGAAAAAGCTTAACTGTCTGAAATGTATTTTCATTTATAATTCGAGGCCTTATAGTAATAATCAGTTGCATGTGACTGTTACTGGTTGGAAGATATCACTGAGTCGTTTACTTTTTTAAAATGGGCTTGTTCTAAAGTTTCTCAACTTTTTGTATATGTATATGTCCTTTATAAATTTCCAGACATATCTATCTAGATTCCAGACATATCTTTTTCCCTTCCTGAAGAGGCCAGAAGAAAATAAGCTTAGTGATGAAAGTTGTTTTCTAAGGATGAAGTGTTTGTTTCTGATATTGTTTTCGATATGATTCAGTTTTTTGAACTAAACATACAACAAGCAAGCAAATAATGTGATGGCCATGTGAGAGATTATAGAAGAGTAATTAAACTTGATACATCATCCATTATCCATACATTAGCTCCTTTATAAATTTCTAGACATATCTATCTAGATTCCAGCCATATCTTTTTCCCTTCCTGAAGAGGCCAGAAGAAAATAAGCTTAGTGATGAAAGTTGTTTTCTAAGGATGAAGTGTTTGTTTCTGATAGTTTTTTCGATATGATTCAGTTTTTTGAACTAAACATACAACAAGCAAGCAAATAATGTGATGGCCATGTGAGAGATTATAGAAGAGTAATTAAACTTGATACATTATCCATTATCCATAATGAAGCATTAAAAAGCTAGAAATAAAGCAGTCAAGGTTTGGAGTTGATGATGAGAATCACCACAAACAAGAAAGCCATCGAAACAAGATTAGCATGAAGAGAAGTTGCTGCAGAGAAAGTTCCAGTAGTTGTAGTAGTAGTAAGAACAAGAACCATCCAATCATCCTCAGAATTAAGTCCAACTCCAGTGTACTTTGAATTGTTGAGAAACTTTGCATAGATATCATTATGAGTGTAATTAGATAGCACAACAGTTGGTTCCAATTTAGGCACACAAACAGGTAGAATGACTCCATCTGTTGTAGTGTTCATGTTAATATCACATTTATCTATATGTCTTTGCAAATTGGGAATGTATACTTCATAAGTTGTGATAAAGTGAAAGTTCTTACCTGAGGTGATGACCTGAAACCTTGATTCTCATGTTAGGTAGAGATCAAATAGTTTAATAAAAGCTATGAAAACAGATAGAAGTTTAACCACGGTGGCAGAGAATGTACTATGTAGTTGTAAACTGTCTTAGGAACACATGTACTTCCTCTTCTTGTTGGTTTGACCGTTAAAAAGAGTATGCATCAACAGACGCAAAGTGCCTGTTTGGTAACACTTTCTATCTCTTTCTCATCAAAACTTTATTTACAATCCAAAAATGATCCTAAGGTGTGTTTTTTATTAATCACGTTACCAAATCATTCTTATGCAGTTGAAGAAAATCAATTAAGTTAAGTGATTATTGATTTATAATTGTTCACTATTGATGTGATTTGGTGTTAGATTGTAAAATTTAGCGAAAAGTTACGGAATTGGGTTCATATATATATATGGCCCTTTTATGATAAATAGTTTAATTAAGCTCTTATAGCATAAGCGCTTATAGCATATGTTAGCTCTCCTTCTTGGTAAGTTATGTGGGTGAGTTTTAGTTTGTGGCACAGTTTTTATTTATATTTGTTGCTTTGTGTGTTGAATTTGTATACGCATGATGAGCAAGACGTGTTTCCTACAAAAGCAGAGGTGGCCACTTATGTTGCTGCAAGTGCGGCGGCCACTGTCGCTTATGTCCTTTTGAAATTGCTTTGTAAAACTCTTCATTTTATGGATATATTATGGTTACTGACTTGTTGATATGTTTTTCATATCTCAAATAACTGTCATATGTTGAACAAAGTAAGGTAAACCAAGGGCCTAAACATTGTCTGCATTAATCTAATCTTTTATATGTAAACTGATCATACTAGAATATTGAGCTTTCCGTGAAAGATAGAAGAAACAGTTTCCATTAATCTCTTCCGTTGTTCATGACTAAGTATATCACATACTGATCCTGTTACATTAAACCCTTTTCTTTTCCACTCTTCCAAACATTTGTTAATATCATCTTCCTTACGTGAACATATATGCACCGCTGCTCCAAATTCTGCTAACTCTTCCACAATTGCGAACCTAATTCAAGAATCATAATAGAAAAATATAAATAAATGTATACTATTATTCTATAAATACTTGAAGTAAGAGTAAGATATCGAAATTACCCAATGCCTTTGGTTCTTCCAGTTACTAATGCAGTCATACCTTCCAGCGACCATCTTTTATCCTTCAACTTTGTTTCAGACATTTTTTCTTGATTATTATCCACTACCCTTGAAATACAAAACCAGAACTCTGTTTGTGAAATAGAAAGAATAAGCTGATTATATTATATAGACAATAGTGTTATAGACCTCTGGTAATTTTAAGGGACAAAGTTAAAATACTTTAAGAAGTAGGTGTAACTTAATCTATATTAATGTAACTTTTTGCTGCCAAAATAGTAAAATATAAACAGTAGTCCACAAAAATATACTTTGTTGTGGTCCAATGTTAATGGTGGTCCAATGTGATCACATTATGTACTTACATTTCAGTGACAGATATATATAGTATGAAATTAAATATTTGAGTACTCACATTATGTACTCATATTGCAATATTTGTTTGCAAACAATATCTAAGGTATGTCAATATCTCTGTCGAAAAACATTAGAAAATTAAATATATTTGGAATTAAATATTTGACATATGAGTTGACATATGGGTTGACATATGGGTTTGCATCATACAAAACTGGGAAAACATTAGAAAATTAACAATCTTCGCGAGTAAAAGCCGAGGAACCTTAGGTATTATGGTTTCTATTCTCTCTTTTGAAACTTTTATTTTGACTTTTTTTAAATCTAAGATATATTATGGACTAGTCAAAGTACCATTCAACATGACACTTAATTTCCCTACATTGTTTCTTTTCTGTTTCTCATAATGTATGCTTAGCTCATGTAGACATGCCTGCAAGGAACAAAGGAATCACATCATGTAAATCCCCCATCTAATATTCAACTTAGTAATAGTAAAAAATAACACAAATCATGAATCTTAGAATGAGTTCACAACTAAGCTAATGTCTCTAAAATTGTAACGTTGACGATCATTGATTGAATATGTTATAGGACCACAACAATCCTCATTTCTAGAATTGTTCTAATCACATGTTTGATTTTTGTTGACAACACAGAGTCTTTAACTTAGATAATAGTTAAAACCATGGATAAAAAATGGATGTGTGCCGATCGATTGTCAAAAGAGTACGAGGATGGGGTATTAGAGTTCGTTAAGTTTGTTTGTTGAACACGCTAAAGACCTGAATAGAATGAAACGTCCTTGCTTGGGTTGTTGTTATGTGGGTCGGGTTGACGCAGATGGATTGAAATCGCATTTACTAATGCGCGGAGTTGATCGAAGTTATACGTGTTGGATATTTCATGGTGAGAAAAGCATCGAGAATGTTGAACCGGGGGTGAAAAGTAATACGACCTATGTTTCGTACGACAATGCCACAGATACATATGATTGTGATTGAGTGGAAGAGATTGCAGAAGCACTCGAAGAAGATCTTCAAGATTGTCCCAAAATGTTTGAGAGGTTGGTAAGCGATGCGGAGAAACCGTTGTATAAAGATTGCCCCAAATTCACAAGATTGTCTGCGGTATTAAAATTGTACAACTTAAAGGCGCGCAATGGATGGTCAGATAAAAGTTTCACACAGTTATTAGCCCTTTTGAGAGATATGCTTCCTGAGGATAATGTTCTTCCTAATCGAACCTACGAGGACAAAAAAATGTTGTGCTCTATTGGCATGAGCTATGATAAGATACATGCATGTCTAAATGATTGTATTTTGTTTCGAAACGAATATGCATCATTGAATGAGTGCCCAAAGTGCGGTTTATCTCGATATAAGAAAAAATTATCTCCAGCGAAAGTCTTATGGTATTTTCCTATTATTCTGAGATTTAGACGCATGTTTCGTAGTGAAACCGATGCTAGACACTTGACTTGGCATGCAGATGAAAGAATTATCGATGGAAAGTTTCGACATCCGGCAGATGCACCACAGTGGAAGAAAATTGATAATGATTATCCTGATTTTGGAGGAGAAACAAGAAACCTTCGCTTGGCATTATCTACGGATGGAATGAACCCGCATGGTCTTCAAAGTATCTCACATTCCACATGGCCTGTGATTCTTATGATTTATAACCTACCTCTATGGCTATGTATGAAGCGCAAGTACATGATGTTATCTATGTTAATTTCTGGGCCTAAACAACCAGGGAATGACATATATGTATACTTGAAACCTTTAATCGAAGATTTGAAGATTTTGTGGGAGAACGGTGTGGAGGTTTATGATGGATATAGGAAAGAAAGTTTCAATTTGAGGGCGATGTTGTTTGGCACAATTAACGATTTTCCAGCATATGGAAATCTATCCGGGTATAGCATTAAAGGTGAAAAAGTGTGTCCTATCTGTGAAGATGGAACCGATACGACACGATTGAAACTTTGTCAAAAGAATGTCTTTCTCGGTCATCGTAGATTCTTAAATTCAAAACATCAATATCGTGGATGGAGAAAAGCGTTCAATGGAAATACCGAACAACGTAGAGCTCCACCTGGATTGATAGGTGATCAAATTTGTGAAAAGGTGAAAGATGTGAGTATTCAGTTTGGCAAGCCTTTTGCACATAAAGTTGTCACAGGTGGGTGGAAGAAGAGGTCAATTTTTTTTGAATTGCCATATTGGAAATCTTTGTACGTAAGACATTTTCTTGATGTTATGCATATTGAAAAAAATGTATTTGAAAGTGTTATTGGTACGTTACTCAATATAAAAGGAAAGTCTAAGGATGGCCTTAAAGCAAGAGAGGACATGGTAGAGATGGGAATAAGAACTGAATTAGGACCCGTGAAGAAAGGAAGACGAACATATCTACCACCTGCTTCTTATACTCTATCTAGAAAGGAAAAGAAAATATTGTGTAAGTTTCTGAGTGAAGTTAAAGTTCCAGAAGGTTACTCCTCAGACATTAGAAGACTCGTGTCCATGAAAGACCTCAAGTTAAAGAGTCTGAAGACACATGATTGCCATGTTATAATGGAACATTTTCTACCAATAGGTATACGTTCTATTTTGCCAGAAAAAGTAAGAAGCGCTATAACTAAATTGTGTTTTTTTTCAGGTCAATTTGTAGTAAGGTGATCGATCCTGAGATCTTACCAGTATTACAAAAAGAAATCGTTATTACTCTGTGTGACCTTGAAATGTATTTTCCTCCACCATTTTTTGACATTATGGTACATCTTGTTGTTCATCTTGTGAAAGAGACACAGTTGTGTGGACCAGCTTATATGAGATGGATGTACCCTGTTGAACGTTATATGAAAATATTAAAAGGGTACGTGAAAAACCGAAGTCGTCCAGTGGGTTGTATCGTTGAGCGATACGTTGTTGAAGAAGCGGTTGAGTTTTGTACTGATTTTTTGTCCAATGTGCAATCCATTGGACTCCCCAAATCTCATTTTTTCCAAAAAAAAGAAGGTAACGAATTAATTGGAAATGAAATTGTGACAGTATCAAGGGATGAACGAGATCAAGTGCATTTATATGTTCTGCACAATGACACTGAGGTTGAGCCGTTTGTTGAAATGCACAAGGCTATACTCCAAGGTGAGAATCAAAGTAGAAATGAAAATTGGATAGTACGAGAGCACAATCAAAGTTTTATACAGTGGTTTAAGGATCATATATATTCAAAGTTTCATTCAGATCCCGCTTCAATATCAGACAAGTTGAGATGTTTGGCATATGGTCCAAGTTCGATTGTGTTCTCTTATAGAGGATACGGAATTAATGGATACACATTTTATACCAAAGAACAAGATGAGAAAAGTACCATGCAAAATAGTGGTGTCACGGTGGTATGTGAAGCAATGCACATTTTTGGTATGAAGGACTTAAACCCCAAATATGAACATTTGTCATATTTCGGGGTTATCAATCACATCTGGGTGTTTGATTATGAGAAGTTTCAGATTCCTATCTTTGGTTGCAAGTGGGTACATATTAGTGGCATACGAATGGATAAGTCAGGGTTTTTGCAAGTGGATCTTAGTAGGGTGGGGTACAAAGATGAGCCTTTTATTCTAGCCTCTCAAGCTAAACAAGTGTTCTATGTCACAGACCCGAAGAGTACGAAATGGTCTATAGTGCTTTTATCTAACAAAGTGATTGATGATAAAAGTGTGGATCAAGTTGATGTTGATGTTGAGAATGAGTCGTATATTAGAAACGACCGAGATGATGATACTACAGCGGATGAATCATATATCAGAAAAGATCATGATGAGGGAATTTGGATCAATCCCTCTGTATGCGTTCTTAAGAGACAAATAATTAGGAATCCAACCAAAAAAAGAAAGAGATGTTAGTGAAAGAGGTAATATATATTCCTCCATACCTGTTAACACTTAGCAAACTTCTAATAAATTATATATTTGTCATTTTATATACTCAATTGATATTTGTCATTTTATATACTCAATTGATATTTGTCATTTTATATACTGAATAGATATTTGGAATTATATATTTGGAATTAAATATTTGTCATTAGATACTAATGTTTTTCTTTATTACAAGTTAGATGGCTAGTAACGAGGAGCACCCTCACGATGATTCTATTAATGATGGAGGAAAATCCAGTAAGGGAGTGGAAAAAGAAATAAAAAGAGGAAAAACTATAATGAAGAATATCATTTGTGATAGAGACAAGGGTATAAAATATGATGTGCATTGGAGTCCAAATGACCAATTAATTGAGCCTAACGGTTCTAAATTGACAAGTTACATTGGCACACTTGTAAGGAGAGAAATTCCAATAACTTGTGATGAGTGGAGAGATGATAAGCTGAATGATGCTAAAAACAAAATCTGGAGTGAGATACAGGTACTTTAAATTATGTCTTTAAATTACGATTATGTACTTTAAATTATGTCTTTAAATTACTTATACTAACGCACTTTGTGTATGTTTTTTATAGAGGTCTTTCAACATTGATGACAAAAGAAAAGATTATTGTCTTGGATTGGCCGGCAAAATACTGAGAGGGTTTAGAACATATTTAAACAGAAAATATCTTAGAGATGCCGGAAAAAAAATTGTTGATGCAGAGCGTCCAGCAGAATATGCGGATGTGATTTTAGTTAAAGAATGTGATGTTTTTAAAGCCAAACGGAAA